CACGGTGATGTTGGCTTTGGCCTGGAACAGCAGGAACTCTGCGGGGACAGGGGGGACACGGCCGGGAATGGCCCCGTGACACCCTAAAACACACCTGGGACACCCTAAAACATCCCTGGGGCACCCTAAAACATACCTGGGCATCCTGGGACACCCTAAAACATCTCTGGGACACCCTAAAATATACCTGGGGCACCCTAAAACATACCTGGGACACCCTAAAACATCCCAAAACACACCGGGGCACCCTAAAACACACCTGGGGCACCCTGAAACACACCTGGGACACCCTAAAACACACCGGGGTACCCTAAAACACCGCAAAACACACCCGTGACACCCTAAAACATCCTTGGGACACCCTAAAATATACCTGGGACACCCTAAAACACACATGGGCACCCTAAAACACACCTGGGGCACCCTAAAACACCCCGAAACACCCAAAATCACCCCAAAATGACCCCAAAATACCCAACGACAGCCGCGGTGTGGCCGCTCTCGGATGCCACCATCAGCGGGGTCCTGCCCAGCACCCACCCTTGGACCACCCTAAAACCACCCCAAAACACCCAAAATCACCCCAAAAACACTGCAAAACTCCTCAAAACAACCCAAACCACCCAAAATCCCCCAAAATGACCCCAAAATACCCACCGACAGCAGCGGTGTGGCCGCTCTCGGATGCCACCATCAGCGGGGTCCTGCCCAGCACCCACCCCACTGAACACCCCAAAACCACCCCAAATCACCCCAAATCACCCAAAACCACCCAAAATCACCCCAAATCACCGAAAAACACCCCAAAACTCCTAAAAACACCACAAAACACCCCAAACCACCCCAAAATCACCCCAAAAACACCTCTGGCACCCACCCACAGCGGCGGTGTGGCCGCTCTCCAATGCCACCATCAGCGGGGTCCTGCCCAGCACCCACCCCACTGAGCACCCTTAAACCACCCTAAAACACCCCAAAACTCCTCAAAACACCCCAAATCAGCCAAAAACACCCCAAAACACCCCTGGGACACCCTAAAACAGCCCAAAACACCAAAATCACCCCAAAACCACCCCTGGCACACACCTACAGCCACAGTGTGGCCGCTCTCCGATCCCACCAGTGGTGGAGATCCTGCCCAGCACTTTCCCAAAAACACCCTAAAACACCCAAAACCTCTTCAAAACAGCCCTGGGCCACCCTAAAACCACCCTAAAACACTCCAAAACATCTAAAAACACCCCCAAAACACCCTGGGCACCCACCCATGGCCACGGTGTGGCCACTCTCTGATGCCACCATCAGCGGGGTCCTGCCCAGTACCCAACTCAGGACACTCCAGGTCACCCTAAAACACCCTGGAACATCCCGGGGCACCCTAAAAGACCCCAAAACACCCTAAAACACCCCAAAACCACCCAAAAATACCCACCGACGGCGGCGGTGTGGCCGCTCTCGGATGCCACCATTGGTGGAGATCCTGCTCAGCACCCACCCCACTGAACATCCCAAAACCACCCCAAACCACCCCAAATCACCCCAAAACACCTCAAAACACCCCAAAACACCAAAAACACCCCAAAACCACCCAAAAATACCTACCCACAGCAGCGGTGTGGCCGCTCTCGGATGTCACCATCAGCGGGGTCCTGCCCAGCACCTACCTTGGACCACCCTAAAACACCCTTAAACCACCCCAAAACTCCTCAAAACACCCAAAACCAATCTAAAACACCCAAAATCCCCCAAAATGACCCCAAAAGCACCTACCCACAGCAGCGGTGTGGCCGCTCTCGGATGCCACCATCAGCAGGGTCCTGCCCAGCACCCACCCCACTGAACATCCCAACACCACCCCAAATCACCTCAAAACACCCCAATACTCCTCAAAACACCCAAAACCAATCTAAAACACCCAAAATCACCCAAAATGACCCCAAAATACCCACCGACGGTAGCGGTGTGGCCGCTCTCGGATGCCACCATCAGCGGGGTCCTGCCCAGCACCCACCCCACTGAGCACCCCAAAACCACCTCAAAACACCCCAAAACACCCTAAAACACCCAAAACCACCCAAAATCACCCTAAAACACCCAAA